AGAGAACTCCCTCACCTCTGCCTCCTAACAAATCTTTCCTCTTCCCCTTCCAAAAAGATCCCTAACCCCAGAGGGAAGGAGTTTGGTGAAAACATCCCATTTAAGACTGAGTGCTTCAAGTTCCTCACTCTCTGCACATTAGCCATTTTGGGTCTCTGTGTTGATTCCCATCTACCATAAGAAGTCTCTCTGATGAGGACCGAACAAAGCTCTTCTCTATTGGGTAGCTCAGTAGATCGTTAGGAATAATGTTATTGCTATGCTCCTTTGGCAGAATAATAGTACTAGGTTTTCTCCTAGGGTCATGGCCTAGCTATTTTTAGTTTCTTGACCACCTAGCAGTATCAGGTATGGGTTCCATCTCATGGGTCTCACAACATTAATTTGAGACAGGCTCTCACTATGTGAAGGCTGTCCTGAACTTCACTATGAAGGCTGGCTTCAAACTCTTGGAAATCCTCTTGCTTCTGCCTCCTGAATGTTGGGATTAGAGGACTGTGCAAGTACCAGTACACCCAGCTACATCATTAGTTTGTAATGTTCTACAAAAGCCACTGGGGTTGGTTGGTTGGTTGGTTGGTTGGTTGGTTGGTTGGTTGGTTGGTTGGTTGGCTTACTGTTGGTGGTGATGGTGATTTTTTTTTTAACCTCACGTGTTATTTAGAATAGCCAAGTATGATTTAGTACATGGTAGTATGTGTTAGGTAGAGTTTTGTGTTTTGTATTTTATAGTGTTTATGCTTCCTGCTCCACTTAGTCCTCATAGAAAACTCAAGGCAATCACTCCTGTCTTATAAATGAATAAAATGAAAACCTTATCACTTCTAATATAGCTAGTTAGACTTGGATCTGGGATGGAATCCAATTCTTCCACCCTCAGCTATCTCTTATCTACGACGTAAGCAATGATACTTCTCTTGCATTATTGGCTGGGAACATGTGAGAAAGCATAGGATAGTGAATACTTCTAAGCCTGACCGTTCACTCTCACTGTCAGAGGCACTGCAACATTGGTAACAATTTTCGTGAGTCCTCTCTTCACACATGAATGCTCTGGACAAAACCATGCCCATTCCCTAATAATTAAAGAAAATCTGGTAGAAACTTTTCCGAAGGACTATAAGCAAGGTCAATCACTACTCAGCACCTTCTATATGACCATCTAGAAGCCTACATAGAAATATGCCCTCTCTGTTAATGAGTTCCATGTATAGATACAGCCTCTCCATTACAACCTCCATGAAAGAAGATTGTTTTCACTTTTGGGTGCACAGATACACAGGCATAAACTACAACCCACAGTCCACAAAGATTTACCTATCTGGTATCTTACCACAAAGAGTTCCCAACTGACTAATGTCCTTCTGGGGTTTTACCCAGGCAACTTTGCATCTGACACTACAGTGTGACCTTTTAAAAGCTACGCTTATCAAAAACTTCAATAAGAAATCATCATACCAAACCCTCAGCTTGCTTCAATAATCCCTCACCCAGCTGTCAGTGCCTTCCTCCATACTAATGGCTGGCACCAGTGGTTACTGTAAGGTCACCAGCTTTTGGATGTGTGAATGTGAAAGGCATTTATTATATACAGATCCTGGTAGGCCAGGCATAGAGGATGAAAAACTGCCATACAGAGCCTCTTACGTACTACATGATGCTTATCAGAAAAGGCTAGAAACCAGACAGGCAGCTGTAAATCCTCAGAAAAGCCTGCTGGTGGTCACCCAGTGTTCTCTGGCCCCACAGCATATGGGCAGACAGAGGGTATCTATGGTACATCTGGAGCCCCTTCTGCTTGCTGCCTGATAGCCACAAGGGCTCTGAACTATGGATCACATGAAAAGCCTTTAGCTGGCTTGTTACTTTATTACAGTGATACCCAGGCTGAGTGTGCATTTCTAAAGCATTATTTCTTTACATGTGAACCTGGGTCTCTCAGCATCGTAATCATCTGGGCACATGTTATAAATGCAGCTTCCTATATATTTATCTATCTATTGTTTCTCTCCCATGTTAGCATAGGAGAACCCCTAGAGTGTAAACTGTTCTGTTACCTTGCACAGCAAATCATAAAATGATTATATTTTCTTGGTAATTTGATCCTTCTACTCTATACTAACCTATTGATTCAAAATCCCTAAGATTGAAGCCAAGGAATACACATTTTAAAGTAGTATTGGGGTGGTTTTTTTAGATGTGCTACAGTGGTGAGCCAAAGTAATCCATTTAATTCTAGGATCAGAAAATGGAAAGGTCATTATATCAGCTTTGTTGAGGCAACCATATTGTTGAGATTTCAAGGGTGCATGTTTTCTGTCATGTCTAGAGGACACTGTTTATCAACAGGCAACCTGTGCATCTGGCCCTCACAGTGGCTCTGTCTCCTCTTCTGAGAGTTCCCTGGAGCCTTGAGTGTAGAGGTAGCATTGTAGGTGTGTCTGCTGGAATTGGACATAGTCACTTTCTCTCTGCATTTTCCCAGTTGTAGATCTCAGGAATAGCTCCATCTATTGCAAAAAGAACTGGCTTTGATGAGGGGAGGACACGCACATATGAGCAACAGTAAATGGTCTTATCAGGTTATACACACGTATGCATGTGTGTAAAGAGTTGGGGAGTGTGAGAAACAACACAGGAGGCGCTAGAGGAGGGAGGAAAGGTGAAAGTTATGTAGATATAGTACCCACATATGAAGTCTCAAAACAAAATAAAATTAATAAAAAAACAATGATAAGTCTTATGTCCACAGCCCCATGCTGTCTGTCTGATCAGAGTTTAATATTCTCAGATTTCACTATGGAAATATAATAGGAAGTGAATTCTGCATTCATCGCTGTTCCCCAGGCAGGCTTAGATGATAATTCTGATTCCTGAAAGCAAGATGTGAATGGATGTGGGCCCATCTACCGGGATGTGACCACGGGAAGACTGTCTATCCACGCCCCAGTTGATGGGCCTACATCCATTCACATATAGGCAGCATGAAGTGGATTCAATGGGTTAGAAAAAAATAGATGTGCACATAAAGTTCAGAGGGGAAATGGTGATGGTGAAGACAGGACAAGACATTGAGGGGGAATGATAGGGGTGGATTTGATCAAAATACATTAAATGTGAGTACCAAATTCTTAGACAACTAAAAGGAAGAATCTAACCTTTCCAAATATCCTTACTAATCGAAATGTTCCTTTAAGTTTATCCTGGAAGCTTTATGTTTATTTTTGTTATAATTCACGACATTTTGACAGCCCCTTGTATCAGGTGATTGTTTCTCCTCTCAGCCTCCTCCTCATTTGCTAAATGAAATGAGACTAGAGACATGCCTGGAGCTCATCCTCAGGTCTAATGCGCCCCAATGACCACTCAGTGACAGCTGACTGGTTCATATGTAACAAAATACTCTAATGTAATTTGATGAGCAAATAGAGATTATCAATCCACCCAAGATTCTCCAAGCTTGTGGAAAGTAGAGAAATTTAAGAGATGTGTAACCTTTCCCGTTTTACTTGGTGAGTTTCAGGCCAGTAAAAGATCATCCTACCTCAACAGAAAATATGGCCTATGGCTGGAATCTGAGAGCCAGCCTCTACAGACATGCACACACATAAGCTTGTGTACCTGTAAACATGTCCACCTGTATACACTGAGCATGTAGGCACAGGCATACACCCATGCAAACAAGATACTTTTATTTGATTTATTATCAGTAAGTGATTACTTGGGTACCTGGTCTATGTATCCAGAATTATACAAAAATTTGTCAGGCAAAGAGGCCATGAATAGAAAGGAAAACGTTTCAGAAGGCTGGGCTAGGAAAGCTTGAATTAAAGGATATTCCTGGGAATCTATGAAGCATAGAAAATATAAGGTGTGAGATGCTTGTGGGAGCTCGTTCCCAGCCCCACTTCCCTCCCTCATTCCTGTCTCACAAGAGTCTGGACATTGTGATGCTCTGGCCTCTCGGACTTGCTCTTCATAGCAATATACCTGTAATGCCTTTTGCTAAATTTCAACCTGAAACCTCAGTCCCTAGTAACCTATCCATTGCTGTTAACTAAGCTACTGCATATGAATCACCTTGCTCTGGCAGAGCCATCTAAGCCAGTGGTTCTCAAAGCTTTGAGGTTTAATGTCTGCTGTCCATTCCAACTATTTTGTCATGCTTTTTTTTTTCCTTTACATCTGTAATGAAGTGGTAGAAAAATGTAACTGACATATTCTTTATAGAATTTTCAGATTTTTTTAAAGACTAAAGAGAAGCTAGAGAATTAATCTGTATTGAAATCACATATTTTTGGGAAGACACCCAAAGGTACGATGAAGTAGCCAGTGGTCACTGTGTGTTTGGGAAAGAAACAATGTCAGAATTCAATGATGCCACTCCTTCTCCTGCTTTTATATCTAATTGATTATCATAGTAAGGAAGGAAATATCTCTGTCCTTTAGGAAAGAGACCTATGGTGAACAACATGATGTTTCTTCTCCATTTGTTTTTCTAGCTGAGTCCCTGGGTTTTGGCTTGCTTTATGCTTTCAGACTTTGTGGGTACATGGGTGCTTTGGGGTCTCACATTTTTATCCCAATGTCTCACAATGGATTTTCTCTTCTTAGAAACTATATATCCACCCATTGGGAGATTTAGAATGAAAGTTTGTTCTGAATTTCTTTTTCATTACTGAATTGCCTTGTTCCCAAAAAGGACTGTTTCAAATCAAAAAGGTGAGTTTTAACAGTCTCTGCGCAAAGGAGAGGATCCTTGTGGCCATTTTACCAAGACATGGTGAGGTCAGGTGTCTCCCAAACATTTGAAGCAATAGTCACATGTCACATAGGGAGATAAATACACTGGTTTCTGTCCCTGGAGATAGCCAATGCGCTATCTTAGTTGGGCACTAGTTAACGATATGAGTTTGTGCTGACCATCTCGAGGCTCCATATGCTGTAGAGACAGCAAAGCAAATCCAGACAAATCAACATGTATTCCATCTTCCTTACAGAGGGAAAATGATCCCATCTGATCTTGAAAGAAGAATCGTTGAAGTCAAACAGAAAGTAAGTGATCTTTGACCCAGAACAATATGTATTTCGATTTATAACAGAAGAAAAAAAGGGTTCCGAATCTCAATCTCCAAGCTTTAACAAGACTATGGAATTTTTCATGCAATCATCGTGTTAGTCTCTGAGTACACACACACACATACACACACACACATGCCCCTATGAAACATCCCTGTCTATAAATCAACAGGACAGTCAACACAGCCTAGAATGTACACACACACACACACACACATATATACACACATGTGTGTGATGTATATGCATGTTCCAAAAGTTTAAGTTGTAGAGTAGATATCTATACAGGGATGGTATTCCAAAGCCTCCGTATTTGCTGAGCTTGGCACTAAGCACACATTTGAACAATCCTTCTCACAACTAAGAACATGCATGCTCACACAGCATGTGTGTAACTATCACATGGAGATTTGAGAGGACCATATTAAACCATACATCTGATCCTGAAGGCACAGACTTACAATTCCTTTAAAAATAACAAGACCATGCTGGGGGTGTAACTTAGTCAGTAGAGTGCTTCTTTGACTTGCAAAAGGCCCAGGGTTTGATCACAAGCATGCATAAGCTAAGTATGGTCAAGGCAGAAGGATCAGAAGTTCAAAGTCATCCTCAGCTATATATGAAGTTTGAGGATATTTTGGAAGGCATATGAGACCCTGTCTCAAAAATACAAAATAAAATAACAATATCCATCAAAGAATATGCCCTTGAACCTCTCACAAGCCAGAGATTGCTTATAGAATTCTGTAAAATTTTTAGTAAATGAAGGACACAATGCCTGGTTTACCAGTAGATGCAATTACTATGTGCTCAGTAATAATCATTTATTTTCATAAGACTTTTTTCTGCAGCTATTTTTGTATTAGAAGGTACCTGGTAACATGAACCATGAGATCAAACTCTTTGCTGCCACCTAAGAACAAGTCCTGAAAACATCAGGGTCTATAAACCAACAGGACAATGAGGACAGCCTAGTGTGACCATGCTAATCCTATCTGTGACTTTCTTCTACCCTCCTGTGGCCATTTCCTATTACTTAAATCAATTTTCATGTTGCCATGGCTTGGAAAATGGTTAGCCCCATGTGAGGCCCTCCCTTCTAAGACCCTGAATAAATCGCCTGAGCTATTCCACATAGGAGTATGGGCTGGCAGAGTCCCTCTTTCCTCTACCCTTCCACCTGACCATGCTAAAGGGGGAGTTAAACTCAGGTGCCTGACTGTGAAGAAGAAAGACTAGAAAATGAGCAAAGGAAGTGAAAAGGATCAGCCAGTCTACCTAAAGTGTGCAAATGACTAGAGACATCACTGGAAACCTCCAGTGCTGCTAACTGCTGTTGTCACGGGGCAGCTGTCAGGGGCAGCTAGTGAACATTTCAGAACCTGGAGAAGTCATTGAGTTAGCCAGTCTGGAGTGTTGACAGCTCTTCTGAAGATTAAGACAACGTATGTGGCAGGGGAGAGTTATCATGGTTTCAATCAGCTCAGTAAACCTTGACCCCTAGTGAGGTGGCCATGCCTGTAGCTCCAGCACTCAGGCAGCTGAGCTCAGAGGATTGTCTCATGCTGAGGCCACTCTACATACCGAGTTCCAAGTGAGACTGGGCTATGTAGCAAGACCTTGTTTCAAAAATTAAATGAGTAAGTAAGTCCACAACCCTGTTTTCACACAATTTGGGTGTTCTTGTTTTTGAAGGGATTTGTTCCTTTCCTGGTGAGTGCCACAGCTGGAACCACTGTGTATGGGGCTTTTGATCCTCTCTTGGCTGTGGCTGACATCTGCAAAAAGTATAAGATCTGGATGCATGTGGATGTAAGTACCCCTTGGCAACTACCCACTAAGCACCTTTGCATGTTTTTTAGAACAAACTCATGGAATATGATTTGCATTCTATCTATCTATCTATCTATCTATCTATCTATCTATCTATCTATCT